AATTAGCCATATATTCTCTTTTTGTTAGATATTTTCAATATTCTGCTATTATAAATGACAGCAGAGGGTCTATTGGAGGGTCTACTGGAGGATATAATTTTATTTTCATTTCAGGATATGCCTTTGGATGTGTTCATAAAATTGGAATTGATATTTTTGAAGGTTGGACATCTTTTCAAATGTTTATTAGTCATTTACAGTTCCATTTTTTGTGTAATGTTATGTCCTTTGCTTATTATCCTTGGGGTCTTATGATTTTATTTTTTATGTGGGTTTTTAATATACTTGGGGATATTTATCCTTTTTCATATTTTTTGCAATTTTTTCTTTTATTTTGGAAAGCAGGATAAAGTCAGGCTCTAGAGTCAGACAGACCTACATATGAATTATGATTTCACTACTACCTTGCTGTGTGATCTGGACAAATTCTGTAAAATGGGGATAAAAATAGTATGTAGTCTAAAAATGTAGGACTTGAGTCAGTGTTTGTAACTGATATGCTTAGGTGCCAGTAAATGGTAACTACTGTCAACTTGTAATTAGGAGTGTCTTAAAAATAAGTACAGGAAGGTGTGCCTGGGTGGCTCAGTCATTAAGCATCTGCCTGCTGTCTCTTTCTGTCAAATAAATGAATAAAATAAAAATTTTTAAAAAGTACAGGAAAATTTTGCCTATATGTATGTAACTCTCTAGCTATTTTTTTTTAAGATTTTATTTATTTATTTGACAGAGATCACAGTAGGCAGGAGAGGCAGGCAGAGAGAGGAAGAAGCAGGCTCCCTGCCCGGGCAGAGAACCCGATTCGGGGCTCGATCCCAGGACTCTGGGATCACGACCTGAGCCGAAGGCAGAGGCTTTAACCCACTGAGCCACCCAGGCGCCCCTCTCTAGCTATTTCTTTATTATTTCTTTTTTTAAAGATTTTATTTATTTGACACACAGAGAGAGATCACAAGTAGGCAGAGAGGCAGGCAGAGAGAGAGAGGGAAGCAGGCTCCCTGCTGAGCGGAGAGCCCGATGTGGGGCTCAATCCCAGGACCCTGGGATCATGAGCTGCACCGAAGGCAGAGGCTTAACCCACTGAGCCACCCAAGTACCCTCTTTATTATTTCTTACATAATTTTTATGCTTCGGCAGTTTTTTTCTCACCCAGAGATTATATGACAATTTAATCTATTTTTCCTACATTTTATTTTTTGCTTATATTTTTGTTTTATTTGTGTGTGTGTGTGTGTGTGTGTGTGTGTGTGTGTGTGTGTATCCTTTAATCCATTATTTAGATGAGTGTTGTAAAATGATCATCATCTAAGTTGATTTGGGGGAGAGAAGGAGACTAGTGTTCTTTAAACACTAACCATTTATTGACTTATCCTTAATTTTTCTGAACTCTCAAGAACTTTGAACCTTTTGAACTAGTGCCAATAGCAAGAGACTGTGGTGTTAGAGCTCTACATAGCCAGGGTGTACTCTGTAATCTCAATCAAGCGCTGGTTAACCTGTGTCCTTCCAGTTTCTTTGTAAAATGGGTTTAGTGAGCTGTCATGAAAATTAAATTAGCAGGGTTCCTGGGTGGCTCAGATGGTTAAGCATCTGCCTTTGGCTCAAGTCATGATCCCAGAGTCCTGGGATCAAGCCAGCATCCAGCTTCCTGCTTGGTGGGGAGCCTGCCTCTCCCTCTACTGCCCCCTGCTGGTGCTCTCTCACTCAAATAAATAAATAAAATTTTTTAAAAAATTAAAAAAAATGAAAATTGAATTAGTTAGGCCAGGGGTGCCTGGCTAGATCAGTCAGTTAAGCCTCCTACTCTTGATTTGAGCTCAGGTCATAATCTCAGGGTCCAGAGATCAAGCCCCATGTCCAACTCCCCACTCAGCAGGGAGTCTCCTCCCACTCAGCAGGGATTTTCTCCTTCTGCCCCTCCCCCCAATAAATAAATAAACTTTTTAATGATTTTATTTATTTATTTGACAGAGAGAGACACAGTGAAAAGGAAACATAAGCAGGGGGAGTGGGAGAGGGAGAAGCAGGCTTCCCACCAAGCAGAGAACCCGATGCAGTGCCCAATCCCAGGAGCCCAGGATCATGATCCAAGCCAAAGGCAGACGCCCAATGACTGAGCCACCCAGGCACCCCTAAATAGATAAATATTAAAAAAGTAAATTACCAAGGTCAAATATCTAAAATAAATTTGACATGTAGTAGGCTGTTAGTAAATTTCTCCTTTCAAAAGGCTTTTCCTTCCTACTGGACGGCTTGAGAAAGCTTCCTCCTAGTCTATAGCTGCTTCTCCATTCCACTTATCTGTTTCCTGCCCTGATTGCCCTGTTCTTTCCTCACAGAGGCAGGAGAGACAGATCCGGGACCGTGGGGTGACCCGATCCAAGGCAGAAAAGACGCGGCCCCCTACAGTGCAGGCGCCACAGGTGGACATCGTGCCTGGGCGGCTCACGGAGGCTGAATGGATGGCACTCATGGCTCTGGAGGAGGGAGAGGATGTTGTGGGGGACATCTTGGCTGATCTGCTGGCGCGAGTCATGGACTCTGCCTTCAAAGTCTACTTGACCCAGCAGGTGCCTGGATCCAGGTTCTCCAGACCCATCTCCACCCACACCCACCCATCCATCCAGCCCACTCTGGGCTGAGATCCTTTCTCATCTCCACAGTGCATTCCATTCACCATTAGCCAGGCCCGGGAGGCCATGCTGCAGATCACTGAGTGGCGCTTCCTAGCCAGGGATGAGGGAGAATCAGCAGTGGCTGAGGACCCCACGTGGGGCGAGGATGAGGAACCGTTGGCATGCACGACAGATGCCTGGGCTCAGGGATCAGTGCCTGTGCTGCATGCCCCCGCCTCCATGAGCCCAGAGGAGACTTTCCAAAACGAGGTAAGCCCAACCCCCAGCTCCCTCTGATCCCCACACCCCTACCCTGAGCCCCACCGAGCCTCTCTGGACTCCTCTACCCTTAGTTCCTGTCTCCTCTTTCCAAGGTCTCACTATGTACCCTCTACCCCCTACTCCCAATGCATTTCTCTAGGACCAAGGGAGCGAGGATCGGATGTCTCTAGGAACATGGTGGATGGGGAGAGGCTCTCAGGAGCAGATGGAATCTTGGGAACATTCTCCAGAGCTGCCAGTCACTCAGGGCCCGCCACCTACCCCAGAGCTGTTTCAGGACACAGGGTCCCAGGGTCCTTTAGAGGACTTGGACGTCCAGGCCAGAGACCACCAGGCCACAGTGCGGTCCTTGAAAGCGAGCCGCCAATCGTCGGTGGAGATGGCTCCCAATGGCAGTGTCCACCCTTCTATGGAGCTGTCCCAGGTAGCCAGCACCCAGGCCTTGACCCAGGCGGCACAGCCCGGGGGCTCCCAGTTCTCGCTGGAGGGCCTCTATTGTTGCACGTCCCAGCCACACGTATCTGGGGACTGGCTGAAGCTCAAGGAGGAGGACGTTCCTCTCATCGAGGAGGATGTGCCCCTCATCGACTCGGGCGTGTTGGGGATTGGCCTCTCTGCGGGCAGCCCCACCACGCTCCTCCCCTCGGCCTCATTAGAGCCACAGCAGCCTAGGTTGGAGGACCCGCTGCGGAGCCGGCCTCGCTATAGGATGGGTCGCAAGACTGGGGTGCGTCTGGACCCCAGGCGCCTGCCGCGCCACTGGGTGCGCCCTCTGGCCGAGGTTCTGGTTCCGGACGCCGAGGCACGCCCCTTGGAAGCCTACCGCGGGCGCCAGAGGGTCAGGAAGACCAAGACTCCTGAGGCTCCCGCTAGATCCCTAGCGCCCAGACCTGGTGCCCATGTCTCCCCGACAGTTTTCTTCTCTCTCCCGCCTAGCGTTCATTTCCCTGCCTTGGGCCTGGGCCCTGGCCTCCAATCCCCAACTTTAAGCCTAGGCCTACCATCACCAGGCTTTGGGTCAAAGTTGCCCTTTCCCAAACCTGGGCTTGGCTTTCTTGCCACTCATCTGGCTTTCTCTGATCTGGCCCGGAGCCCCAAACCCAAACTGTGGCCTGGTGCCAAGTGGCCCAGTGGCTGGGAGGGGGAGGCTGAGTTGCTGGGTGAGATATGGGCTGGCCGCAGCCGCGTAAATCCACAGGGCCTGGATCCCGGCGACCGGGAGGGTCAGGATCCTCGCAGGGGGCCATATACGGTACCCCGAGTCCTTGAGGCCACGTCCCAGGTGATGTGGAAGCCCATGTTGCTGCCTGACGCAATGAAGCTGGCTCCTGGTGTGAGCATGTGGAACCCAACCACCCAGGTGCTGCTCAGGGCTGCAGCACCCCAGCAGGAGGACAGGGAAAGTGGCACCTCTCTTCCCATTGAGCAGCAGCCCATCCAGACAGGTGTCCCAAATCCTCAGGTGTCCGTGAGACAAATAATGAAGAACCCAAAGCCCAAAGTGTGGTCACTCCTCCCCGAGCACCTACCCTATTCTGGGCCCTAAAGCTCAGGTGGTGCGTTCCTTCTTTCTGCTTGCCCAATAAACACCTGAGTTGCCTGAAGAGTTGACCTGATGTCTTTGTCGGTTTCTTCCAAGGGCGCTCAATCAGGAGCAGTTGCCCTACAGTCCTAGAAGGATACAGAACACTGGTTCCAGGGAATGACCCCGTTTCCACCCTTGGGAGACCCTGCACTGGGTCACTGTTGCTCCCCAGCAGTGGCATTCTGGAGAACCGTCCCCCTCTCCCCAGAGGAGTAGACATAAGGGCTGCAAGAGGGGTCTGTCTCCGTTGGAATCACTCAGTCTCCTTGCAGTAGGGGCTGCTTAAGCATACATTGATTAAAGATGGGGGATTTGCTATCTTGCCTCTCCAACACCTGCAATTCACCAATCCAGCTTAGAGTGAAAGTCCAAGTTTCACTTGGAGACAACCATCAGCCTATACACACTTCAAAGAAGCACTGGCTCTGGGCTAAAGAGAGCCGTGAGGCAATCAAATGTCCAAAACTTGCAATTTAAGGTGGAATTTACTCCCCAGTCCAAACAGCATGTTTGAGCAAATCTGAGAGTGAGTAGCCTCTTTAAATTTTGTGTCCTAGGCACTACCCCAGCCTGATTACTAATCTGCATTCAGCTTTGACTAGTTCCTCCCCAGTTTACCTCCACCACAGCCCAGCTCCCCTGGTGGCAGACCACCAAGTCTTTGCTATGGCACTGTGGTTACTACTCAGCACCCTGGTCTGGAGCCCTGGGTCTGTCCTGCTCATGCTGGTTCTCCTGCTTCGACTAAGTGTGTGGTTCTGGCATGAGTATCATCTTTGGGACCTCCAGCAGTGCTCCACAGACCTAACTGGGAAGACAGCAGTGGTGACCGGTGCCAACAGTGGTGAGTGCTCTTCTCATCCTGTGGCCTCACTAGGTGCCTCAGGCCCCAGTGGCGCCAGGAGGGAGGGTGGGGGCGAGGACCAGCCTCTCTGGTCACTCCCCAGGCTAGGCTACTCTGAAGCTGCTCTCCTCCAGGCATAGGGAAGGCTGTATCCCAGGAGCTGGCCCGCCGTGGGGCCCGTGTGATCCTTGCCTGCCGGAACCAGGAGCGTGGACAGCAAGCCCTGTCTGAGATCCAAGTAGTCTCAAAGGGTAACTGCCTCCTGCTCGGCCAGGTGGACTTGAGCTCAATGGCCTCCATCCGGAGCTTTGTCCGGTGGCTTCTGCAGGAGTCTCCTGAGATACACCTGCTGGTTAACAATGCTGCAATCTGTGGTATGTTTCCCCCGGACTCATCTCAGGAGCCTCCTTTCCAGTTCAGGGACCCTAAAACAGGCATCCACCAAACCTAACCTGTGCACCCTGCTGAAAAACCTGGAATTCATACACGACCCTAAAAACCTGAATTCATACTTGCCATGTTCTGTGGCATTTCTGTTAAATGCCAATTTGTCTCCCAGATCTCGTCTCCTTCCATTACCTCACCTGTGTTCTCATTTCCTCCCAGGAATCCCCAAGACACTAACCCCAGAGGGCCTTGATTTGACCTTTGCTACCAACTATGTTGGGCCCTTCCTGCTTACAAATCTACTCCAAGGTAAGGGAGAATGGGGTACCTCCCTCCTGTGCCACCCTTGCTTCTCCATTCCCCTGGCATTTTCGTGGTTTACTGTCCCCATGGCCACTTCCTTCCGCTTGGCACCAGCTGCTCACTGAGTGATGACCCGATATGCTTTCCCCCCTCACACAGCAGGGGAACCCAGCTGACACAAGTCAGGAGTAGGAGGCTGGTAATAAAATCAGTGAGCCCCAAATACAACCAGCGAGAGGGTTTAAGATCCCACCTCTCCTTCCCCCAGATCTGCATTTTAGCTAGACCAGTAGAGTCAGTCATCCCAACAAAAGCTTCTTAAGGGGAGCACTAGACCACTAGGAACATAGACACCAAGAAGCCCAACTTCCTGCTCTCAAACAGCTCAAGAACCACCAGGAATCTAGACAGAACGCATCTATCTCTTGGGCTTGAGTCCTTTGATTTTCTGATTTTTTAATTCTTTCCGAGCAAGGAAGTAAACCTCCTGGGGAGGCTGGGACAGAATGAGGGGCAGGTGCCTTCTTCCTAACATTTTCTCCTGGACTGTGTAATAGCCTCTTTAAAATAAAATCAATTGTTTGGGTTAGGTAATATGTGTCCAAAACACAAAATTGAAAGTGTACAAAAGGGATTACGTTTTTAAAAATTCTCCTCTCCTTGAAAATGAGCTACCATTCCCCTCTTGAGAGGCAATTCGTGTTGCCAGGATCTCATGGACTCCTTAGCGGCCGATTAAATGAGCCCCAACTGGAAAGAGAACAAAGAGCAAGGCAAAACTCTATGGGCTCTCAAGTAGTAACTTTCCCCCTTTTGACAAATTGTAACATCCTGTCTACAGCTTGCCTAGTCCTATTTTCTCAAAACTTGTCTTCTCTCCCCCCACCCCCCCGCTCTCTTTCCCTTTATAAAGATTTTATTTATATATTTGTCAGAGAGAGAGAGTGAGAGCACAAGCAGGGGGAGTGGCAGACAGAGGGAAAAGCAGGCTCTCCACTGAGCAAGGAGTCTGATGCAGGAGTCAATCCCAGGACCGCCCGAGTCAAAATCAGACACTTAACTGGCTGAGCCACCCAGGCATCCCATCTCCTCCCCTTCTTCATTCTTTCTCCTGCTTGTAGGAAATCATTATTCACCACATCACTTGCTTAATATCCTTGGAAGGTATTTATCCTTTAGAGGAGAAACTCTAAGCCTGTTCTTTCCATGCACAGACCCCCTGCAGACTAAGAGCCTCACCTTCTCCCCTTCCTTAATCCACGCTCTGCTCTCCAGTAAACAGTCTGTAGCTATGCTCTGTAGCTCTTGGACCTTGTTCCCCCCCCCCCCCCCCCGCCCCTCTGGCTCTGCTTTTGGCACATGTGCTTGTTTCTATGAGGAATATCCTTTCCTGCTCTTTTAGCTGACTTAACTTTAGTTCCTCTGCCAGGACTCAGCACAGATATCACCTGTGCTGTGGATCCTGCCAATGCCTCCCCCAGCGGCCCCCCCAACTTGCAGGGCTCCCCCCACCCTTGTGTACATTCCTGTTCCCGCATCAACACTGTTCCATGAGGATCTGTCTCCAACTAGGCTGTGAGCCCCTTTGGTCTTTATGTCACTATGCCTGCAAATCTCAGGTCTGTTTTCTTTAAGAATAATTTTCTCCCCAACAAATTTTGCCTAAATACCACCTGTTCGGTTTTTCATTTGTGATTCGTAATCTAAATGTACGGCTCAAAATAGTTCTGGCATTTTCAACACCGTAAACTCGTATGTGACAACTACTATTTTTCATATTTTATATGATCCAAATTTTGTATAGATAGAGATATATAGTGAGGTACTTTTTAAAAAGATTTAGCTTATGCTATTTTTTTTAAAGATTTTTTTTTAATTTATTTGACAGATCACAAGTAGGCAGAGAGGCAGGCAAAGAGAGAGAGGACGAGGAGGCAGGCTTCCTGCTGAGCAGAGAGCCCAAAGCGGGACTCGATCCAGGACCCTGAGATCATGACCTGAGCCGAAGGCAGAGGCTTTAACCACTGAGCCACCCAGGCGCCCCAAGATTTAACTTATACCATTGATTGTAATTTTATTTTCGTTACCCTGGAAGATAGCTGGGTTTTTAAAGATTTTATTTATTTATTTGTCAGAGAAAGAAAGAAAGAGAGAGAAAGCCCAAGCAGGGAGAGCTGCAGGCAAAGGGAGAAGCAGGCTCCCCACTGAGCAAGGAGCCTGATGTGGGACTCCATCTCAGGAGCCTGATGTGGGACTCGATCTCAGAACCCTGGGATCATGAGCTGAGCTGAAAGTAGATCCTTAACCAACTGAGCCACCCAGGCCTCCGAGAGCTGGTTTAAAACACACACACACACACACACACACACACACACACACACACACTTTCCCAAGTATCTCTAAATACATTTCTTCCCCCTTCAATCCAGCACCCTTATGTCCTTAGTATCTGTCTTGGTGTCTACCATAATCCAGATACCTAATGAACGTTTGTGTGACATATACGCCAAAGATCGCTTTCACAGTGTCTCCAACCTCTGCTTTTCTCTCTTAGCCACCAGTGAGGTAAAACATAAACAGGGATCAATTAAAGCAACTCCAGCAGACAAGTGGAAGAAAAGCAAGATAAAAATCCAAATACTACAATAAAAGAGGAGAAAAAAACATTGGGAAAGCAACTAATGAAAATGAAGACTTTGTTTACATTAAGCTGTCCTGTGCTTAGCCTGGGGAACATGGGGTGTGGGGCTCAGTGACCCTATCTTGAAAGCCCTGGATGGTCTCTGCTCTCTTGGAGTCTCCTAGAGAGGCAGGCTGGGGAGTGGGCATGGGAGTTCACTCCAGAACTTGGATTGAAGGAGTGTGGTCCTCTTTTCACCCAGGGGCCCTACAACGGGCAGGGTCAGCCCGGGTAGTGAATGTGTCTTCCTCTCGGCATGCACATGGCTATGTTGATGAGAAACATCTGACAGGGGCTGGGAAGCCTTTGGCTTTTAACCAGAACTACAATTGCAGCAAACTGCTCTTGACCTCCTTCACTGGGGAGCTTGCCCGGAGACTTCAAGGGACAGGTAATTGCCTCTGACACACCCTATTCCTCCATCCCAGTGCCACCTCCAACACTTCACATCTCACCCAACATGTTCTGGCCATAACCTATTCCTAGTGTCCCCCAGGCCAGCTGTTAATCTCCCCACTGGTCATCAGTGCAGTCGATAGTTCCCTCAACCCTGTCTTCAATCTCCTTTTTTGATCTTTCCAACTCTCTTATCACTCACAACAGATCTCTCCTCTCAGTATTCTCCCAAACCAACACCATCCACTGTGTTCACCCAGGGCTTTCCGATACTCCCATCTCCTCACTGGCTTGAATATATCACCTATTTGTGTAAGTTCCAGAGGACTGACTTCCTTGGCACCACCCCTAAATATCTGCTTACCTCTGCCCCACAGACCTGGTAGGATCCTCCAATCGTTGCCCACTGGAGAGCCACACTTACCCCTTTCTTCCCAATATCCCCCTCTCATTTCACTGTGCACTATTATCCATGTCTCCTCCTCTCAGGTGTGACTGTGAACTCTGTGGACCCAGGTGTAGTATACACAGAGATCATGAAGCAGTTCTCTTGGCCATACCGATTCTGCTTCTGGCTCTTCAGCTTCTTCTGTAAGGTGGGTAGGGGAGGAGCCGGCTTAGCCTGAAGAGGGTGGGGCAGCGCTGCGCTTCTGTGTGTCCCCAGCAAGGGAAAGTCAGTTTGGCCTGACTCCCTCTCTTCCCCTCTACAGAACGCCAAACAAGGGGCAATCCCAGTCCTCTACCTGAGCTTGGCAAAGGAGCTGGATGGTGTTTCTGGAAAACATTTTAGCAGTTCCTGTATGATAACTCTTCCCACTAAAACTGCTCGGGATCCTCAAGTGGCCCAAAGGCTCTGGAATGCCACAGTCCAGCTAACAAACCTAGAGAAGATGGACTGACCCTCTGCGACCCCTGCCCTAACTTGCCGTCCTCACAGGCTCCCAGCCCTCCTCTGATCATGCCTTTTGTTTATTGGCTCCAAGTATCAATCATCTTGTCTGGGTAACAATCACTTCCTCTTCCTACTGGCTCAGGGCCATGAAAGCTCAGATTAGCCAGAGGATCGTTTCAGCTTCTAATTTCCTGCCAGTTCTCTGATGGAAGTATTCATCCTGTGGCCCCTAGGATCTGCAAACCTATGGAGTCCCACTTGGTGTTGAGACGGAGTAACAAGCCAAGCAGCAAGATCAGTTAATGCAGGTGCTGGGAGCCCATTGTTTTTCTCCCAGTGTCTTTGTTCTGCCATATACATTTGGGAATCAGCTCTTCAAATCTCAGACACACACAAACCCTTCTGTGATTCCATTGTATCTACTATTTAATTCTTTCCAATATCTTTACAAAATTTTAAATTTTATCCTTAAAGATCTTACACTGGTTTTATTACATTTAATTCAGGTACTACATTTTGATGCTATTGTGAATGATGCTTTCACCTTTGTGTGCTGATTGTCTATTGAATGACTGTAATAAATTATCTAAGTTTCATGAATTATCTGTAGGTGCTTTGATTTTTCTACACAGAAAATCACACTGTCTAGGAAAAATAACAGTTTCAGTTCTTCTCTTTCCACTATTCTTTTATTTCTTTTTCTAGAAGACCTTTATAGATTTTCTAGTATTAAGCCAACCTTGCATTTCTGGTCACTGTGTTGGGTAGACATTGCTAAATGGAGCATACTCAGGTTTTTGTTTAACACTTTGTACCATGTTCATAAATGAGACTGGCCTGCACTTTCTTTCTTTCTTTTTTTTTAAATGTTATTTAAGCCATCTCTACACCCTACGCAGGGCTCCAACTCATGACCCCAAGATGAAGAGTCACACGCTCTTCCAACTGAACCAGCCAGGCACCCCTGGCCTGTACTTTTCTTTACTCATATTGCCATTGACTTGTTTCACTGTCATGGATCTATTCACTTCATAAAATGAATCGGGGATTTGGGCTAGTCCGGGAATATCATCTGAGAAGCAGACGCTAAGTTGGGATTGAATGTACAAGAAACTCTTTAGGGGAAATGGCTGTGAGAGAAATTGGGAAGGAATCTGGGAGAAGCTGAGGGGGCCACCAGACTGGGATCTGAGTCAGACCCTAAGTGAGGGAGGGGAAGAAGTCTGGTTGGGAGCCTCAGAGAGTAATGAAAGGATTTTTTCCATTTTTAAACTCCCTCTCTTATTTTGAAAGTATTAATCTATTTTGGTTCTTTAGTGTTTAATCAAAAAATTTCAACCTGTACATTTGACTTAACAGTCTCCCTTTCTTAAGGATTTTTTTTTTAAGATCTTATTTATTTATTTATTTATTTGACAGATCACAAGTAAGCAGAGAGGCAGGCAGAGAGAGAGGAGGAAGCAGGCTCCCGCTGAGAGCAGAGAGCCAGATGTGGGGCTCGATCCCTGGACCCTGGGATCATGACCTGAGCCAAAGGCAGAGGCTTTAACCCACTGAGCCACCCAGGCGCCCCTTAAGGATTTTATTTATTTTAGAAAGAGGGCTTGCAGCAAGGGGTGGAGGGGCAGAGACAGAATCTCAAGCTAACTCTTCAACGCCTTGCTGAGTGCAGAGCCCAGGAGAGTCTCAATGCTCAAGGCTCCATCTCACAACTCTGAGACTGTGACCTGAGTTGAAACCAAGAACCCGCCGCTTAACCGACTGAGTCATTCAGGTGCTGCAGACTTAACATGTACGTTGTCTCTTTAGTAGGTATTTTTATACTTCTTTCAAACAATACATAGATGTTAGAATTCTTTAACATTAATTATTCTCTTTGAATTTGTATGCTTTTATAATCTGATATTTTGATGATGGTTAGTTTGTTAATTACACAAATCAAATGTATTGTTATTATTTTAAATAGTTCATATTTGTGTAGACTTACCCACATGTTTAATATTTTCTTTTTTTTTTAAGATTTTATTTATTTATTTGACAGATCACAAGTGGGCAGAGAGGCAGGCAGAGAGAGAGGAGGAAACAGGCTTCCGCTGAGCAGAGAGCCAGATGCGGGGCTCCATCCCAGGACCTTGGGATCATGACCTGAGCTGAAAGCAGAGGCTTAACCCACTGAGCCACCCCAGCACCCCCATCCTTTCATATTCTTGTCATGAGGATTTAAGGTACATAGAATTTTACTAAGACAGTCCCCAAGATTCCTACCCGCTGTGTGCACATTTTGTATAATCTCCTCCCCTCCAGTGTGAGCAGAACTCATGAATGTGATGGAATTTCACTCCTGTGATTACCTTATATACTGACAAATGGGATTTGCTGATGTAATTAAACTCTGTCGTCAGCTGACTTTGAATTCACCAAAGGGAAGATTATTGTGGGGGGGCTGACCTAATCAGATGAGCCTTTTAAAAGTGTTCAGGTCTTCCCAGAATTCAGAAAGATCCTCTTGTTTACCATGAAGAAATAAACTGTCACATTGTGGAGGGGAATACCTGGCTTCCAGGAGTAGAAACTTTGGTTCCCCAGCCATAATGAACTGGATTCTGTCTTTGAATCTGGGAGAGGACATAGAGCCCAGATGAGACTGCAACCCTAGGCAACACCATGATTTTACCCTGGTGACACTCTGGGCAAAGGACCCTGCTAATATGTACCCAGCCTCCTGCCACAGAAACCATGAGACCATACATGGGTTCTTTCAAGACACTAAGTGTAGTGATTGGTTATGCAGCAATAGAAGACTCGTATAGGAGCTGATGATAATAAACCTCAGTTTTATTGGCTTGAAAAATTTTTTTTTTTTTTTAGATATTACTTATTTATTTGACACAGAGAGAGAGGTCACAAGCAGGCAGAGAGGCAGGTGGGGGGCGGGGATCAGGCTCCCCGCTGAACAGAGAGCCCCATATGGGCCTCGATCCCAGGGCCCTGAGATTATCACCTGAGCCGAAGGCAGAGGCTTAACCCACTGAGCCACCCAGGTGCCCAAAGATGGAGAGGTAACAGAATGCCATCTTTTTTTTTTTTTTTTAAGATTTTATTTATTTATTTATTTGTCAGAGAGAGAGAGAGAGAGAGAGAGAGAGAGAGAGAGGGCACACAAGCAGGCAGAGTGGCAGGCAGAGGCAGAGAGAGAAGCAGGCTCCCTGCCGAACAAAAAGCCCGATGCGGGACTGGATCCCACGACCCTGGGATCATGACCTGAGCTGAAGGTGGCAGCTTAACTGACTGAGCCACCCAGGTGTCCCCAAAATGGCTTTATTTCACCATTTTTGAAGGATCATTTTGCTGGCTAAGGAATTATAGGCGGGCAGGTGTTATCTTTTAACCCGTTGAAGATAATATTCCTTTGTCTTCTGACTTTCATTGTTGCTATGAGAAGTCAGGGGTTAATCTAACAGTCCTTTATTCTCTCTTGCTCCTTTTATGATGTTATCCTTGTCATCACACTCCTGCAGTTTCACCACTGTTAATCCAGATGTGTATTTCTATTTGTTTATCCTGGAGGCAATCGCTTGGGTTTCCTGAATCTGAGGACATATATGTCTCCTGTATTTCTGTTTGTTTGATAGATTTGACATGTTATCTTTTGCAAATTTAAGGTATACAGTGTGTTACTTTGATACATTTATATATTGTAATATGACTGCTATAGAAGCAATGTTTATCACGTCACATCATTACAGTACAACATTATTGTTTATATCCCTCGTATAGTTCATCAGACCTCTATGGCCTATTTACTACTAATTACAAGTTTATACTCTTAAATACCATTAATCTTATCCTTCCCATCCCCCTCTCCTAGTAACCACCATTTTACTTTGTTTTTTCATAGGTTTGACTTGTTTTAGGTTGCATATATAAATGATGTCATACAGTATTTGTCTTTCTCTGTCTATGTCTCACTAAGCATAAGGTGCTCAACGTCCATCCACATTGTCACAAATGACAAGAGATCCTTTTTTCTCATGGCTGAATAATATGTCATACACATTCATGTGTCTGTATATATATATATATATATGCTCTCTGTATATCATCTTGGAATTTTTTTGGCCACTCATGTGATATACATTCTGGTCCCAAACTGATGTGAGTACAAGCTTATTGTTTCGAATTACCAGAGAGGATTTTCCCCCATTACACCACGACTAAGGATGAGAAGCTTTTATCCTTACTGTTTCCTTTTGTGGAGCACTTTTTTTTTCTTAAGTCACTGTCTGGGGTGTTACTCCTAGACTCCTGGTTTTATGTGCATGTATGTAAGGGGGTAGTAGTTTTCTATTCCAGTCTTCTCTGCTCAACCCCAGATTTGGTCTTCTGTCCCTACTTAAGCCTCTTTAAACCCCAGTTCCAGGCCACCTAAGGGTTGGGTAGCAAACACTGGCTCCAGTGATCATCTGTGCCTTGGGATTTGTAATTTCACATTATCTCTAGCTTCTGAGGAATTCCCTTACTTTCCCACCAATTCATTTAGGCAACGTGGGCAGGTGCGTGTGCGTGTTTGCGTGTGTGTGCGTGCATGTGTGAATGTTGCATTCCAGCATTTTTAGTTGCACTGTATCAGGTGGATTTCCATGATATTTTGTCCTCTATTGCCAGAACTGGAAGCACCCATTTATTCCTTCCTTTGTCCTTCCCTTCCTTCTCTCATGTCTGTATAGCCAGTTATTGCAGCACCATTTGTAGAATAGTGTGTCTCTCTCCCACTGGCCAATAATATAAATTATGACTAATATCAAATGTTCCTATGCATTTGTGTTTGTTTTAGGTCTAGAATCTTTTGTGTTCTAATGGTCTATTTTGTTTTCTGTACCTACATCGGTACCCTATTGCCTTCATTACAGTAACTTTAAAATAACCACAGACACCCCTGAGCTGTGTTCTTTTACTTCAAGAGCTTCTTGGCTATTTTTGGCCCCAGGGCTCTTTTCTACAGATTTACTAATTTGTTAGCATAAACTCCTAGAATATCCTGGTGGGTTATTGACTGGGATTGTTTCAAATACATAAATATGGGATAATAAGTTCCTTGTGACATTGAATTTTCCTGTTCATAAATATGCCATATCTCTCATTCATTTGGACTAAATTTAATGCCTTCCATAAGATTTTATAATTTGGTTATGCACATATTTTGTTAAGCTTATTACCAGGTGCATCAATTTCATTAAAAAATCTATTATTGAGGCACCCAGGTGGCTCAATCCATTAAGGGTCTGCCTTCGGCTCAGGTCACAATCCTGGGGTCCTGGGATTGAGCCCCGCATCGGGTTCCCTGCTCATCTGGGAGTCTACAACTCCCTCTCCCTCTGTTGCTCCCCCTGCTTCTGCTCTGTCTCCCTCTCAAATGAATAAATAAAATATTTAAAAAATTTTTTAAAAATAGAAATTATACTATTTAACTTTTCATTGTTGGTTATGGAAATGTAATTGATTTTTTATGTTGATTTTTACCTCTAGCCACTTTGCTATTTTTAAATCAATTCTAATAATTTTTAGATTCCTCTTTTAAAAACTTATTTTTAATTTTTTAA